ATTTTTGTCAGCCAACGGGTGTGCAACTTAGGGGGGGAAGCTGCAGGATTTTGCCGCTCAGTTTGCGGGTGGCTTTTTTTTTTTTTTTTGCAGGAAGTGACTGAGCACCAGCAGGGTTCCTCTTTGTGTAGCAGTGGGGCTCAGGATCGCCGCTTGCAGAAGGCAGCAGGAGAAGAGGAAGACCCTTATATGAGATGGACAAGCTCCTTCAAGGAAGCCACAGGCTTGAGCTTGCAAATGCTGAGCAGAGCCATTGAGGACAGCATATTCTGGAGATAGCTCATTCATGGGGTTGCCCTACATTGGAGATGACTTCACACCACAGCGACGGGTCACTCTTAACATATAGTTTGAGGATGCATGACAACTTGTGTGTACTACACAGTGCTGAATTTTCACAGAGGGGACCACTAGAAGATGCCAGAGGAAGAACTGGGAGATACCTCCTTCTCTCCCCCCCACCAATGTGTAGGTAGCCTGATGCACTGACCTGATGCACACACTTCCTTTGCTTGCAAAAGCAAACTGCCTTGCGCGACAAATGACACATTTTTGTCAGCCAACGGGTCTGCAACTTAGGAGGGGAAGCTGCAGGATTTCGCTGCTCAGTTTGCGGGTGGCTTTTTTTTTTGCAGGAAGTGACTGAGCACTAGCAGGGTTCCTCTTTGTCAGGATCGCCGCTCGAAGCCAATGGGTGGACACTGAATGTGGCTTTACATGCCACTAATTTCCCCGGGGCTAAAATGCCTGAAATCACTGTCCCAGCCTTGCCTCCTCTCTCCCCTCTCTCCCCAAATGCCTATGGGACTCTGGATTTTAATGCACAGCCTGAGGGTCCAGGCCGATCTCCAACCAAAAGATCTTACCTCACCGTGGCTGTGCTGTGCTATCTCAACCTGGTGAATTATATGGACTGGTTTCTCGTGGCAGGTAAGTTTCCCCCGCCTCCCCCTTGTCAAGTGAAAGAAGCCTCAGGTGACTTTAAGGGTTGGGGAAAAGTTGGCTTCTTTAGAACAGACCCGTCCAGCGTGATGGCAGCTGAAAGAAAGGGTGGGATTGAAGTAGAAAACCTCTAAAACCGTGGCTCCCAATTTTGGGTCACCCAGATGTTCTTGGACTAAAACCCCCAGAAGTCTTCACTACTCGCTGTGCTGGCCGGGATTTCTTGAGAGTTGTAGTCCTAAAACATCTGGGGACCCATGGTTGGGAACCACTGATCTAGAAGGCTAAAGATTGGAGGGAGGTGACTTCTACTCAGGTTTAAACTTAACATGTATTTTGAAACAGCGCTGCTGTAAATATTTGAGACTTCTCTGTGAGTCCTAAGCAGGTCCTTTCCACGTCTCTCTAACTTACCGAGTTCTTGTTCTAATTATGTGGGATCTCTGTGAGTCCTAAGCAGGTCCTTTCCACATCTCTCTAACTTACCGAGTTTTTGTTCTAATTATTATGTGGGAAGTGTAGTTGGAGTTAGGCCTCCTGCTTTTCTCCCAGTTTGTCCCACACAGGAGTCCAGTATTCACTGGGATTCCCGTCCACGCTGTCCTTTCGGAAGCAATGTCTTTTAGCACAGTTTCTCTCCACTCATGTTTGTGCATGCCTGTGTTAGTTTTTTTTTTGGCTTGCAGCTGCTGGGATCCCAGAGGAATTCGGAAAGTGATCATCCAACCAGGGGGGTTCTTCTAAGCAGTGGTCTGGATGGATTGCAGTGTCAGCTTTTATGGCCTACCACCTACAAACTCTCTTCAAAGGGGTCAAAGGGATGGCGGGAGCGGGTGTCCCATTGGGTTGTACAAGATAATGCCCCCTGCCGGAATTCCAGGGTTGCTCTTGCATGTCTCCGACCCGTCAGGATGGCACCTCTGCCAGGTTGAAACGAAACAGAACCGAGGGTCTTATCATGAGTTCCCCTTGGTAATCCGTTCAGTATCTTGGAGGGGTGGGGAGGAAATATGGAGAGCGGGGAGGTAAACAGGCACCTTGAAACTAATTAATTCGAGATTTTGCTGCGTGATAACCTCGTAAGTTGAAGTGTTACTAGTGAGATTAGGAAGAGGGGTAAAAATAAAACCAGAAATCCTTGGGCATGGCTCCACCTACCGTAAAATCTGGCCTCCCCTACCGTGGCTTCCAGCTGTGCCTATTGTTAGCTCCACCTGCTGCTTTCCTTGCCCGTTGTCCAGATGCACCAAGGCTTAAAATATCTACTGGCCCTTTGCTGACACCTCTCCCGCTTTGTACCTGCGTGTATAAATAGATTTGCAAGTCGAGAACAGTGGAGGGACTGAATTTCTGTTCTCGCAGAATCCGTTATCCTGTAAGATGTCAATATATATATATTTTTTGCAGGGCTGGAGGAAGAGTGGGATAATAAAAGTGGAAGAATTATTAAATGAACTTGCAGTTGTGTCTCTTGGTGGTTGTGATGAGGTCTTTCTTTGTTCTAGGAGTGCTTCTCGACATACAGAAATATTTTGGACTTGGCGACAGCAGTGCGGGCTTGTTGCACACAGGTGAAAACATTCTCCTCTATGCATTTCAGGGGACCAGCTGATGATGGAAAAAACCCTAGTTCCTAGCTGATGCCTTCCTCACCTGTCTTGGATGTGGCAACCCATAAGAACATGGTCTGAGAGGATCAGGTGACACAGGCTGATATTCTTAGGGAAAGACGCCCCAACAAGTAGCTACGTCCCAAATCAGATAACTATTTTTTATCATTAGAAGCTGTCATTTCTCAGGCAGATTAATCTTGCACTGCAGACCACATCCTGTACTGCTTCCCCCCTGCATTTCTGTGAAATTCTGGCACAGTCCTGCATTTACCAAGACTCTGTTTTTGCACTGCAGACCACATCCTGTACTGCTTTTCCTCCTGCATTTTTGTGAAATTCTGACATAGTCCTGCATTTGCCAAGACTCTGAGTCTTCTCTAATTTACTTTCCTTGTTGACCTCATTAACCAAAACCACAGCAATTTCTGTACCTTGAATTGTTAATGAAATCTAGGTTAGAGCCGTCCTGGCATGCATATTTGCCTGGTGTTTATCCATCTATTTCATTATAGGGTGTTCTCCACATGAAAAGGGTTGCCATAAGTCAGAATTGATTTGATGGCACATGTTTACTATTGTTGACAGGCGATGCCCCACATTTTAATTGGGCCAGAAATACATTTACTTATTTAGCTGGTTAGTTAGTTCTGACTAACCTGTATGGACAGATTGTAGGGCAGGGCGCCATCAGTCACCTTCAAAGAATCTAAAGCAAGCAGTTTTAAAGCAATTTAAAATACTTTGTGTTTTGCCTGTGAGTGCAACGTGAACAGCATAGCTGTTGGAGGTGAGTCGCCACAAGCTGCAAGCAACCTGTTGTGTGGGACTCCGCACGCAATATATCACGGTTCTACTGACTTTGTAACTTGCAGCGATGCGTTGGCTAAGCTTACTCCATTCGTGTTGCACTTGTGTAAATGAGCAGCAGGATCTTGGTCTTGGAAAACACATTAAAAACAGTTGTAACCAGTCAAACAAAGAACAAGCAACTGTGCCCCAGCCTTCCAGAAGAGTAAAAACTAAACCATGATCTCTCGTGTTGCTCTGTGGTAGATAAATACCCAGGTTTTTACTTGATCTTTAAAATAAAGGTAATGTTGACGATCATGGGGAAGGAAAGAGCATGTCCCCGATGGAGTGCTACAGCTGAGAAAGTCTTACTAATGTAGCACGTAGTTAAACTACCGGACTTCCTGCCACAGGAGGTGGCGGCAGCCAAGACCAGGGACCAAAGGTAGAAGGAGTGCTCCCTCAAGTGGTGAAAAAGCTCTGATTCTGAAATGATGTTCAAGCAAGTAAGCAAGCAAAAAGATGTCGCTGGGATTATCTATGGGATGCAAGCCATGGCTTCCTTTGCCATTTAATTGTAGAGTCAGGCATAACAAATGACTTCCCTGGAGTTACTTGCTCCAGCCCAGAGAGACTCCGCCAACATCTGAATTTTCTCACACTCAGTGTTAAAAACCCAGGTTTAAATTCCGCCTGTGTCGTAAATTCGAGCTCCGAGGGTGGGTGGTCTTGGGCCAGTTGCTTTCAGTCTCGTCTCCATCACAGGCTTGCTGTGAGGAGGAAGGGAGAGGGAGAGGGTGTGTGTGTGACGGCAGCCATTCCTCTTGTCTTGTGCAGCCCAGAGAAAAGACAAGAGTGGAATTCTGATAAATGCAAGTGATAACGGCAACCCTGGTGAAATCTTCGTTGCCAGCGCTCCTTCGCCATCATCAATCTTCCCTCTCCTCTCTTCCCATGCCAGTTTTCATTCTTTGCTTCTTGTTCTCGGCACCTCTCTTTGGATACCTTGGCGACCGATACAGACGGAAAATCATCCTCGCTGCTGGAATATTGCTCTGGTCAGGTGTTACCCTCGGTAGCTCATTCATCACTCAGTCGGTAGGAGTCTGTTGTTTATTTGAAGTTTTTTATTTACGTCCTTACCTGCCTGTAGGAACAGAGGCTTCATCCAGAGACCAGTCTTTATCCTGTATCTGTGCTGCTTAGTAATAGTTTGGTACCTTTCAAACCGCCACGACTCCCTCGTAAGGAATGCTGGGATTGGTAGTTTGATTAGGATCTTTGTATTTTCTGCTGGAAATATTTTACATACACACACACACACAGAGAGAGAGAGAGAGAGAGAGAGAGAGAGAGAGAGAGGATGTGCACTGTTCTCAAATAAATTTATGAATACAGGCCAAATTATATCTATGTGGTCTGGGATTGGTAGTTTGATTAGGATCTTTGAATTATCTGCTGGAAATATTTTACAGAGAGAGAGAGAGAGAGGATGTACACTGTTCTCAAATAAATTTGTGAATACAGGCCAAATTATATCTATTTATGTGGTTATGAATTTGACCCAACTCCGGGAGGCAGTGGAAGACAGGGAGGCCTGGCGTGCTCTAGTCCATGGAGTCATGAAGAGTCGGACATGACTAAATGACAACAGTGTGGTTTTTAGGTGAGTGTGGGGTGGAACAAAGAGCCCAGGGGCACTCAAGGGGTAGAGTGGCACCTGTCGCTGATCCTCCATGTTCATTCATTCATTCATTCATTCATTCATTCATTCATTCATTCATTCATTTATTCATTCATTCTATTTGTACCTTACCTTTCCGCTAAAAGAAAGTGCTCGAGGTGGCTTACGAAGATTTTTAAAGACATAAAATGTAGCATTCCTGGAATTAAAAATGTTAAAGTGAAAAAGATATGATAGGTAAGATTTAATTAAAAGTGGGGAAAGGGGACTCAAAAGTATCGATACCTTATAAGGAAGATGTTGAGCCACCAAAGAACAAGAGTTCCCCAACAGCCGCCCATGTTTTTGGATGAAGTCCTTCCCAACAGCCGCCCATGTTTTTGGATGAAGGTCCTTAAGTCCTCCTAAGCAGAAAAAGAAAGGAAGACACATCAAAGTGTCTTTATCAAGTTCTTCTCATGCATCTTCTCCCCTCCAGATGGCCTGGCTGTTCTTTGTTTCGCGGGGCCTTGTGGGTGCTGGCACCGCCAGCTATTCCACCTTAGCTCCCACCATCATTGCTGACCTCTTTGAGAAAGACCACCGGACATGGATGCTTTCCCTTTTCTATATCTTCATCCCAGTTGGAAGGTAGGTTTGTGTGCTGGTTGGTGGTGGAGAGAATGGGCTGGGCATCAGGCTGAAGGGGGTTGTTTTTAGACTACAAATCCCAGAATCCGCCAGCCAACATAGCTGTAATCCGAAAAAGTAACTTTTCCAGACTTTGGAGTAGGGATCCACTCTTGAGTTTGCTATTTCATATATATAGAACGAGTGCCTTTTTAAAAAAGTCGGAATACACCTACTTAAAGCCAACAAGAGAGGATGTAGGAAGCCAACTTCAACCAGATGAGACCAGACTACACTGTGAAAATGTTTTGCCATCACCTATCATTTGATCTTTTCAATCAGTGGTTCCCAATCTTGGGTCCCCAGATCTTCTTGGACTACAACTCCCAGAGGTTTTCGCTGCCAGTTGGGCTGGCCAGGATTTCTGGGAATTGTAGTCCAGGAACATCTGGGCACCCAAGGTTGGGAACCACTGCTTTAGATTATAAAATTGGGAATTTGGTGGGGATTGAACCTCTGGTCATCTGAAAGTGGGTGCTCCGTCAGTGAGCCATATACATCTTCTTTTGAGAAATAATGGACTCTGCTGGGTCTTGGCGTGCCATCGGTGCTGACTCTGCCGTATGGGATTGCAGGGTGATTGGGCATCGGTCGACCGGTCCTTTTCTTCTCTTGCAGTGGCCTTGGTTACATCTTGTCATCTGGAATGACCCAGGCGACCGGCCACTGGAGCTGGGGTTTCCGAGTGAGTGTCTTACTGGTCTTTTGAAGGAAGCTTGTTTCTTGGCATGATTTAACTAAAGAGTGGGGATTTTTGCTGTTTCAATGCAGCTCTGGCGTGACCCCAGCACACACACCCTGAAAAAGATCAATCAATCAGTCAATTCATTCTGCAATCTTAGTATGGCCCCAGCATCAGACACACTCCAAAAGCAAGCAGCTCACGCACCCATCCAGCCTTCAACTATACAGTCATATCCACAGAAGCCTCTGTGGGGCACTGCTGTGCATTGCAATGCTTTTTCCTGCAGACTGTCCTGTGTTCATTTTGGGGAGGGAACAGAAGGCAAGCGTCCTCTGAGGTTGAAAATGGGGCAGAGACAGAGGAAGAAGGCATTTAAGAGGGAGGTCTAGCCCCAGAGCCTTAACGGGTGCTTGGCTCTGATTGAAAAGGTGGGGTTTTTCTCTGTCATTTCATGGCCACTGGCATTTCACCCAAATAACCCTGGGAGGGAAAAAAAGACAGCTTAAATGAAAAAAAATAGAGG